GGGGGTGGCAGAGAAATAGAGAGGGTGACTGCTTGATTGAAATTATGACATTGTTCTTTTCTTCAAATTGTGATTCCTCCAACTCCAAAACGGTGAAAAAACGATCGTTCATTAAAAAGACATCCGCTATCTTCATTTAGATTTAGATCTAGATATATCTAGATCTAGGCTAGCCTTGAAACTAGATCAATGATTTATATCTGTCTGTCTAGATCTAGACCTAGGCCATAGATCTAGAACAAACCAAGGAGAGAAAACCTAGATCTAGATCTAGTTCTACCCAGAGCCAAGAGTCAAGAGGGCGCTGAAACTTTCCGAAATCACAATGACAAACGAGTTCCCCTACCAGGTCTGTATACTTCGTGACTTTGTTCCCGGTTACCGGGTCTGTATACACTCCCTTAGGAAAAACAGGTCTTTTTTCACACCGGGTGAGAATAGTCTACGGTGGCAAGTCTCACCCGGGGTGAGAGGTCGATTGTATTTCTATTCTCACCCCGGGTGAGAATAGCCACTTCCTTCACGAAAGTGATACAAGCTGCATTCTGCGCATGCTCACAGAAACTGAGGAAGTGACCTCGTTTTCGCTGTTCTTTTTATCCAAAACAAAGCAGGAGACCGGGGGTTGCGCATCCAAACAGCAACGCTGTGACGCTGTGAGACTCTACTCTAGATCTGATCTAGATTCTAGAATCTAGAGATCTAGATCTAGATCTAGGCTAGCCTCGAAACTAGATAGATTAGATCAATGATTTACGTCTGTCTAGACTATATATCTAGACCTAGACTCTAGGCCATAGATCTAGAAGAGCCTAGGTAAAATCTAGTGTACATCCATGGTCTACCCGCTACCATGAGCCAAGACCAAGAGGGCGCTGAAACTTTCCGAAATCACAACAGTTCCCCTACCATTCTGTATACTTTGTGACTTCCCGGTTACCGGGTCTGTGTATACACTCCCCACCATAAAATACGCGTTTCCCGCCCAAAATTATATTAGATGGATCTAAAGTTATTATTTTTCTTTACTTTATAATGATAGCCTAATCGTATTCTTAAATTGTTTAATAGACAAGATGGACAGACATACGACTGTGTTGGAGCGAAAGTCAAGGAAAACGTAAACTAACCAGTCTCGCGAAGTCTAACCTCTCACCCCCGCCCCGGCTTCGGAATTGGATCAATAATAGACGAGGGGAACACAACAACAAGCCTCACGATCTACACACCACAATGGCAATGTCAAAAAAGGAGGCAACAATCATGTGAAAATAATTACTTCGTAGCAATAACACACATTTGAACAAAATGCATAGAACATTGTATTGCAAGATCCACCAACCATAATAGGCTAGGCCTACAGTCTACTTCATAAACAGCATCAGTGTTGGGATAGACAGCTTGCACGGGCAAATGTGGAACGACACGACGTGCACTTCTTGCACAAAAATCCGAACGCCTGTCGCCATATATTCCAGTACAATTCGATACACAACTATTGGAATTTCTGTTAACAGAATTTTACTCACCTTTTTCTTAACTGTCCCAGTGGAAAATGTGACAAATTAATCCAGGAGGTCGATCAAAACAGTACTTCCACGGTTTCACCATCATTCACATCGGAAAAACACCTTCTCCAAAATGGCGTCTGTATCATTTCCCGCTTGCATTCAGTGAGTTCGATTACTTTTCAAACACAATCGAGTACATAATTTCTCTTGAAGTTGTTGGCTAGGCCTAGGAAATCAAAAGTGATTTGAAGAACTTGTCTTGTTGTAGGCCTATATTTAAAAATTTTGAACACATATCAGAGTAAAAGCAAGTTTTTGAGGTGAGAAGGATCCCAGCTCCTTACTAACACTAAAAGAAAAAAGTCGGCGAACAATAATTATAAGACCCCTTGCTCAGAAAAAAAAAAAAAAATGGTATTCAATAGGCAACATTTCACATAGATCTAATGTAGAGACACAATTTTCGTTGAAATTTGATCCAATAACCTTGTACTATATAATCATATTACACGATATGACTCTGTAATAAGTGAACGGTTTACGAAAAAGACAAGCATTTAGTGCTTGCAATAAGGCCTATAATATGCTACAGGACCAAGACTTTCATTTATAATACCTCGTAATGCACAGGACCTTATACTGACGCCACGTAGTGTCAGTGTCAGTCATCGACTCAGAGAAAGGAGCTCAAGCAAATGATACTCCAAATGTTCTTTATACATTTTATTATGGTAAATTAAAATTCTAGTTCATAAATTCAAAAGCAGAGTTCCAGAAGTAAAAAAGAAAAACTACAATAAAAACTGAAGAATGTATAGGTCTAATATATATATAAACATATTAATTATATATAATAAAGGCTATTCCAACACATAATAAATATTCATTATGACATAAGTGTTAAAACAAATAATGTTATTAAGGAGGTCGACGAACAGCATTTTCTTGCACAATGGTAGCAGACTAGAACATATTTCAGCATGCATTTGTTATTGTACTAACGAGGATGAAGTTAAAATAGCCTAATATATCAGAAAATTGTAAAAATACGAATACTCGACATACTTTGTAGTCGATTAGGTCAATTTATTCAAACTGGGTCGTATTCGTTTGCGCAAACTTTACGCGGACAGCATTATGCAAATGAGTCAGCCAAACAACCTGAAAGAGCTACTGCATAAAAACATAGTTCGCTATGGTCATCATTCAATTGATACTTAAATAGATTATAAACTCTTTTAAAATATGTCTGTAAAAGAGTTTTGGCATTTTTTAAATCACATATAAACAACAATGGAAAGCAATGTTTTCTCACAAACTGATTAATTATATTTTGGTGAAATTAGTCCGACATGAAAAACATAGGAATGTGGCCTGTCCGGACAACTTTCTTTGACGACCTTTGAACTTTAACCCATTGACAATCAATATCGAGACCTCTATACCAAAAGAGTGGGCCTACGCTGCAGGCCTACTGAAATGTACAATAATTTTATTTTATTTATTATATCTCCTGTAACTTCCTTGCTCTGTACTCAAAGGTAGATCTAGTCTGATATCGATAATAATATTATGATTGAGAAAGGGTCGACTGGGTTTGACAATACCAGAACCAGAAACATGTCTAAACAGCTCTGCTCATTCTTTGGGGACAGGAATGAGTTCATATTGAGTTCTCCCTTGCACAAAATAAATGGAGGAAGTGAGTGCACAATAGAACCTCATTGAGGGTGGGGGTGGGGGAGTACTTTTTCTGTATACAACTTGTCCGTATGGCAAAATTGTCTGATTTCAATAAACAGCGATTTACTTCTGATCACGTGCGAATGCTTGTTTGGAGTTAGTAAATTCATCAGGGCTCAATGCTATTAAATATTTAATAAAAGTAATAAATTTTGATCAAGGGTGGAGGGGGGGGGGGCTTTTAGTCCAGGCCAAGGACTACTATTGGTCCAGGCAAATGCCCACGCTTGGGCTCAGGTGTTTAAGCACACGACGTTTTACCTAGATATTCGTCTTCAGATTCAAAACTCAAAACAAAATGGAAAGTCCCTATAAAATAATACAAAAACGCCTATGCGCTTTATTCATAATCTCTTATCGAGCCCTACTTCAAAAGAGAAAGTGTCTCCATGTTGTAGAGTAGGCTTAACCGGAAAATTAAGAAGAACGACAAAAACAAAGGTACATGTAGTATGAAAGAGTCTTAAGAAAGGGGACCATAATTATTTCGAATGTTTTTGTTTTTGTTCTTTTTTGGGGGGGGGGTTTCTAGGAAGGGGGGGGGTGTCATGAGTTGATATCAAGGTTTTCTTGGGATCTATAAAAGGCCTAGGCTGCTACTTACTTACTTGTCCACTGTGTTGGGGTCACTGCAGTCGGAACATGTCCATCTCTGCCCCCCCCCCCCCTTCGGGATCCATCGCAGAGTCTGTCTACTTATATTCTCCATCATGATCTGGTTGGAGATCCGTCGGACTGGTCCGCACAGATGGCTGTGTTTCCCCTCTCCTCTTTGGATCCCCTTCTCCTGCAATCTCCCTAGAGTGTGGGAACCGCTATCCGCCCTATTCTTCCTCAAATTTTCCCTTACAGCAGTTAGGACGGTTGGTGGGTCCAGTGTCAAATTCCCTCCCACTTTTGCTTCTCCAGCCAGCTTGTCTGCTCTCACGTTGCCGGTTACCCCCGCATGACCCGGGCAGAAGATCCAGGCCACTCTTTCCAGGCTGCTCTCCCTGATCGTAGCTCTCCAGTCCACATACAGCATCCCTTTCTGTATCTTCTGTAGAGTGCTCATTGAGTCAGTTATGATTATTGCTCGCTGATGGCTTGTGTTCTTGGTCCAGTGTAGAGCTTCACTTATGGCTTTTATCTCCATACACATACTTGATGTTGTCAGTGCAGTTGCTCCACTTTGCTCTTTCACTACTACCCCATCAACTCTGACACTGAAGGCCCAGCCCGATTTGACTCCTCTGTTGACTGATCCATCCGTGAAGATCACAGCATCTCCATGTTCGCTATGCTCTTCTATCAGGGTTTCAATTTCAGCGTTTGTAGCCCCAAGTGGCCAGTTGCGACATTCTCTACCCAATGTTGCCTTCGCTGCTGTGTACTCTACTGAACCTACTGTGACAGTGAACGGGCAGAAGCTAGCAACTGTGGACAAGTTTGTGTACCTAGGCAGCACTCTTTCTCGCAGTGTGCACATCGACGATGAGACCCATGCTAGAATCGCAAAGGCGAGTTAGTTCTGCGTTTGGACGTCTATGTTCGTCAGTGTGGGAACGCAAAGGAATGAGCCTATCGACCAAGCTCAGTGTCTACAAAGCCATTGTCCTCACCACACTACTATATGCAAGCGAGACCTGGACAGTATACCAGAGGCACGCCAAGAAACTCAACCGATTTCACCTCAACTGCCTCCGCAAACTGCTCAGAGTGAAGTGGCAGGACAAAGTCTCAGACACTGAAATCCTCAAGCAGACAGGTATGTCGAGCATCTTCACAATGCTCCGAAAGACACAACTCCGCTGGGCTGGCCATGTAGTCAGAATGCCAGACGAGCGTCTGCCAAAACGCATCCTATATGGAGAACTTCAGACTGGAGCACGCTCCCATGGAGGTCAGAAGAAGCGGTTTAAAGACACCCTGAAGGCCTCTCTGAAAGACTTCGGCATTGACCACAACTCGTGGGAAACGACAGCCCAAAACCGTGCAGCCTGGCGTGGAGCCATCAGCAAGGGAGCGGCAGCGTATGAATCACGGCGTCTGGAAACAGCAAAGAGCAAGCGCGCAACAAGAAAGTCCCGTGCAAGCAGTGCTCCCGCAATTCATGACCCTACAGCGCAACCTTGCCCTCACTGCCCAAGGACCTTCAAGGCGAAGATTGGCTTAATCAGCCACCTGAGGACCCACCCCACTCTCCGGATATGATGAAGAAGGTCTTCTTCCCTCAGGAAGGACGAACACCACTCTCCGAGCGCATCATCGACCACAACCCAATCCCTGCCTCTCCTGATGTCTTGTATCTGGCAGCACTCGTTGATGGTGTTCGTGGCTTGAGTCATCCATTCTGTGCCCCTCTTTAGCCTTGATGGTATCTGCCGTCCCACTTTCTTATGTAGAGGGTTCGTCTCGTCTGCACTGACTCGCAGAAAGGCTTGGACTTGTGCCAGTTTGTGCCTCTCGTCTGCACATGGGAAGTCTAGGAAGTATCTCATTGCTTCAGTTGAGGTATCTCGTGTGCACCCCAGGATTGCTGTCATTCCTTCATTTTGTAACACCTCGAATCGTTGCAGTTGCGCCTTTGATAGGGTCAAGAGTCCGAGCCCGTACTCTACGACAGAGAGTACCAGTGTCTGGTAGAGGATGACAAGGATTTTCTGGCTCATCTTAGCTCGGGACATCATCTTAAGGGCTGTTAGTGTTAGGCCTTTTCTCGCCCTAGAGATTGTTCTCGTGATGCGATCTTTGCCAGAGAGAGTGCGATCAAACGTGATGCCCAAGTACTTCGGTGTGGGTTCCCTGTAGGTTGGTATTTACATGTTAGGCAACTCTGAACCATTTGATCGACAGATAAATAATATACATGTAGAAGCCTACTGCTTGGCAACGTCGTTGGCTTGCAGTGAAATTCCTAATTCTTACGGCACTAGACCAAAAAAAAAAAGAAAAAAAAGAAACAACAAACTAACAAAAACACACGACACAAACAAAAAATACACACACAAAAAAACACCCTTTAGATGTAACCCCCAAGGGATGAGAAAAGGAGAATGGAATTTTAAGGCCAAGCTCGACCTGGAAGCGAGATCTCAGTGCTGATCTCAGACATTAGGGGACACACACACACACACACACACACACACACACACACACACACACACACACACACACACACACACACACACAGAGAGAGAGAGAGAGAGAGAGAGAGAGAGAGAGAGAGAGAGAGAGGGAGAGGGAGAGAGAGAGAGAGAGAGAGAAAGAAATCAAGTACCGTATAAAAAACTTCACCATCATTCTTCTACATAAATATATGCGAGAACAAATTTCCCCTTGCCAATAATAAAACGGGTGCCCGCGCGCGTGCACACACACCCACACACACCCACACACCCACACACACACACAGTGCGCGCGCGCGCACACACACACACACACACACACACACACACAGTGCGCGAGCGCACATTTCACTCAT